CAATGCATATTGGATTATTGTATTATTGAATCATTTAATAAACAGAATAAAATAAGTTAAAATTTAGATTAAAATACACTATGAATGTGTGAACATGTTACCTCCGAATCATGAAAGATAATCTCTAGAACATTTCGGTAATTGCGAACGTCTTCAACTCGTTGGAACATCCGAATTATGCGTAGCTTGATTGGTGGCTTATTGGATCGGTGGATATCCTTGATGACTCCGAAATTCAAAGGCATGTTGAGATGATGTTAAAAAGATTTGCAAAAGAAAGGTTTATATTGCGGTTTGTGTATGTGTATGATGTAGAATATGTTGGTCAAGACTGTATTTATATAGTAGTTTATATTGACAGAACGATTGTTATGGAAGATCCGATTGTTATTAGGAATAATAGTAGTTTATATTGACAGAACGATTGTTATGGAAAATCTGATTGTTATTAGGAATAATATCCCTTATTAAGGGATAATATCCGATTTATGTTATTAGGAATATCCCTTCAATTCAATTCGGCTATCTTTCATATAATAATGATTAGTTGGCAAATTAAAATAAGATTTTGATGCAAAAAAGATGGCAAAAAATCAGTAGGACAATTGTTTAACCGTGTTACCGAGGTTGCACAATATTGTTATCAAATTTTCGATATTTTAGGTAAACAAACAAAAAGGAATTAATTAAGTAAATGGGAAAAGACGTGTGAAATAGAACAATTAAATGAGATAAGTTAGGCAAGACAATCGGATATCCGATTTGTGTTAACAAAATAAAAAATAAAAAACGGGATTTATGGTGTCATTTGTTGAGCAAATTCCCAATCATTCCAAACAAAGTCCCCTAAAATCCGCTAACAAATTTTCGAAATCAAAGTAACAAATCACACAAATTCCTAATAAAATGTGTAACAAAATATCGGATTTCAAGGCTTGATTGGCTGTTGAATTACATAATTTACGAATTTTCCTTAAATTTCGTTAATTAATTAAATGATTGAGACCTACATAGGTATTGCCTAAAGTAGTATGTATTACTTAAAGAGGTAAGTCAAAGTTATTTTTTTTAAAGTCAACCTTACTATTTCTTTATTTTTCCAACAACCTTTTTATATTATTATAGATATGTGCTATTTAATTTATTTACATTTATTGCATTTAATATTTAATATTTATTATTTTAATATTTAGTATCACTATTTAACCAATATGTAATATTTAATTTATTTTCAAAATTAATGCGGTCAATATTTATTACTACTATATAGTATAAGATTTTAATAATTTTTATTATAAGAATTTGCACTAAATGAATCAAAATTACACCATCCATAATAATCAAACAATATTAAATTCTTGATTCAACAAAAATCTGCCCGTAATTATACACACACTGACACACATACACAATGTGATTTGAATAATAGAACAAAAGAATCCAGTAATCTAATTTTATAATCAAGCAAAAAAAAAGTCCTAATTTGAATGAAATAACTCAAAATCCAGTACTGGATTTTCCAAAATCAAGCAAAAAAGTTGGTAATTAAAAACAAGCGTACAATGTCCCTTGAATAAAATAACAATGTATAATCTTCCATTTTCAATGAAGACATCGAATTGTCTGTCGTTTTGAAAAAAAAAATTAAGACATAAAATTGCAATAATCCAAAATCACTTATTATAAACACAAGGAAAAATTCCAGTTTGAAAGTATATATTTTAATTGAGAAATAATAATTACCTAATCGATAGACATATCTAATAGTTGTCCTATTGAACCGAGCAATTATAACGATTAGATGGTCATATTTTGTTCAATATAATTTATATTTTCAAATTCATGAATTGTCATACTCAAAAAAAATAAAATAATAAAAATAGAACATTTTATAAAATAAATATGTTTTTTCGTTACAAAAGTATGATAAGTCGATCCGCCTAATGATAAGACCGCACGAGAATTTGTGGTGAATTACAAATTTACAAGTGACCATAAAAATGTGGTAGGCATCTTATCAAGGGTAAGATTGATAATTAATAACAACTAATCCATATTACCTCTTTAATTATCACATAATCCTCTCAACCCCCACCCCACACCACCCCACTGTTGGAAATTTTGTGTCAAAATTACACGGGAATCCTACGAACTGATGTGTATTAT